TGTGAGGCAAGTGGGGGAACAAAGAGAAAAAGCCCACCACCACCAAACCAGCAGGTTTTCAAAGCTTATCTCTGCACGAAATCCAGCAGATACTTTTTTAAAGACAGGAAAAAACGAAAACACCTTTCACACGTACTGCAAAGCTGGGATACATTGAAATTATTGATGCAAAGCTGAAAATGTTACTAGCAATGACTGTTTTCTCCACCCCCTTTCGGAGTAGTTCAACCGTTTTGCCAGCTTAAAATAAATAAATAAATAAAATAAGAGCAATAAAAGTCAGCCCAAGGCAAAAAACAAGCTCGGAAACTAAAGAATGTGCACGGTTAAACCAGAATGGGAAGGCAGAGTGGAAAACTGTACGCAAGCACTGCCGCTGCCAACCTCACGTGCCCAAAGCCCTCTTCTCCTGGCGGGAGATGATTTGGGGTGAGCGACTCTCTTGAGTTCCCCGCCAGCCCTTGGGTGACACAGGTGACAGCAGCAGCCTCTGCCCAGCCCTCGGTGGCAATCAAGCAAGTACCTGCTTGAGGGATTTACAGCTCTCAGGGCCCCGTGCCTGTGCTGGGAGAACTGGGGACGTTTTGTAATCAGTGGGTAATTCCTTCGAGAAGTGCCCAGGCTGCTCAGCCCAATACAAAACTCATCTCTTCGAGATGTCTTCAGCATCCTATCCTGTGATTAGTCACAGAAATATTTAAAATAATTTTGGATTCAGCTATTCCTAAGGAGCACACAACAAGAACCACACAAGGCATTACCATCAGTTACACCCAGCTTCTGTTTTCAAGAACTGCTCCCTGCCAGTTGTGACCTGAAACAAAATGCCAGCCAAATCACCGCCACCAAGATTTCATTTGGCTTGCCAGAGAGAAAGGCTGCCCCTCGGGCACAGGGACTGCCCTGCACCTCCCATCCTGTGCCCTGGGTTTATTTTTAACACGGGTTTTTAGGTAATTTCATTCTATCCTGTATGGAAAAGAACAGAAGCAAGGTGCATCCTCAGCCCTAATTCCCACATGCGCTTTGTGCTCCAAGTGAAGAATTTCTTCCTCACGTCACTTCTGATCTAAATCTCCCCTCCATTTATACAAAGCCATTATTCCTGGTTCCATGGCTACACTCCCCGATAGAGTCCCTCTCCACCTTTCTTCTAGGCCACTTTTATGGCTAAGGTCAGGTGGCAAAAATGCAGGACCTAGCAAATTGCAGCCTCATCTACCTTGTTCCACACATTCCACATGACGTGTTCCAGCTCAGGCTCTAGCCTCTCGTCAGTGTAACCAGAATCATCAAGGTTGGAAAAGACCTCCAAGATCATCTGGTCCAACCATCACCCTACCACCAATGTCACCCACTAAACCACGTCCCCAAGCACCACGTCCAACCTCTCCTTGAACACCCCCAGGGACGGTGACACCACCACCTCCCTGGGCAACCCGTTCCAATGCCTGACTGCTCCTTCTGAGAAGAAGTATCTCCTACTTGTTTTAGTTGTTGCAGAGCAGTGCTTACACTGAGTCAAGGACTTTTCAGCTTCTCACACTGCCCTGCCAGCGAGGAGGCTGGAAGGAGCAATCCCTGACTTACAGCAATCTCCTGGAGAACAACTCGGAAAGCAGGAGACCCTTCCAAAGCTGTGGGCTGCTCCCAAACTGCCCGTGGGATGAGGAGCACCTCTTCATGCAAGAACTTAATGGCCAGAAGTTGGCATGTTTGCAAGATGGGGCCCATTGCATGAATCTGGATTATGTGAGGTTCTTCTTTTAATGTCCTATGCTCATTAAGCCTATCTAATGATCCTTTGCTGATCTGGTGTGGCCCTTCACCAACTGCACTGCCACAGCTGCTTTGGCATCCCACCTCTCGTCTGATTTTCTTTCTGCTTCTCATTTCGTTTCCACAGTCGGCAAAGAGGAACAAAGAGGGATTAAATTAGATTCATCTGGATCACTCCAGCTCTGCTGAATCTGAAAATACCACGTGAAATTCCTTCTGCTGGCTGGGGCTTAATCACCAAGGGATTAGATGGAAACAAAAGTAGTTGAGATGTGTGGCACACAGCTATTCCTTAAATATCTGCCATAATAACGTGAGCTTTAGTGGCAGTACGAGGCCTATTGCTACGCTTGAATTATCACCTGCCTTCCTGGGGCTTGGTGTGATTGACTCTGGGGAGACATTAGAGCAATATTTACCTTTTTTCAGCAGTTCATCAGCCTGACCTGGAGCACTGTGTGCTGCCGGGGATTCCAGTTCCTGTTACCTCTACCAAAAAAGCACCAGAGGAAACTGCTGGCAAGGATTAAAAGCTCACGCTGTTCCTTCCCTCTTGATCTCCTGACACTTGTGATGGTTGTGGGGATCCAAGGCTCCCTCCTTGAAGACAGCCAATTGCTCCAGCTGCTTTCAGGCCAGACTGGAGATCCCAGAGCCTGGATTTGCCTCTGCTGCAGACACTGAGAGCAAAAGCAAACCTTTGGGCTCTGAACTGGGGCCACATTCACCCTGGCAGAGCCTGGTCCTCCCCTCTGTGCTGCCTTATTTTCTGTGCTAAGTCAGGTCTTCCAGTAATGAAAGCCTTGATGCCTGTCTATAAGGCCTCATGATTTTTGCTACCAGCTGCTGGAGCTCAAATCCGTGCCTGCATCAGCCTAACCCTCCTTTGCACTCCCAGCTAGGACTCCTCGTGCAAACAAACGTGCTTGGGAAATGCCAGCTGCACACCTTGCTCTCACCCGCAGCACGGGCAGGAGCATCGCTCCTGAGCCTGTATTTGATGTACTACCAAAGCAAATAGAAGGGGGTTCGCCAGCCCTTCGGATCCCAGAAACCGGGGGTGGAAAAGAGCGAGTAGGTTTTTATGGCGTGTTTGCCTGCTGAAGCAGGCTTGTTCCCTGCACTGTCTTCTACTGCGTTTTCCTGCCCTGTTTTAAATGACCTTGGAGGGTGGGGAGAGCCGGGAAGGTGGAATCTGCCCGTACCCTAGAGAGCTTGTGTCTGGTTTGAATAATGTAACGTGGAGCTAGCGGAAATTCAGAGAACGTGGTTACAACACAATATTTAATGCCATTTTCGCATGCTTTTTCCTCTGCAACCTGCTTGCTATGCCTGCTGTGCCAGTAACATCAGATAGATGTTTAAAAAAAATAGAAAGAGGTAACAAAAATAGTGGCAATACTCCATCGTTGTGTGATTGCTCTTCTTTCTCTTAGCAGGAGATTGTCTTGGGTGCTTTCTTCCCCTCTGAGGAAAAATGAATAGTGAGAGCTGTGATGATTGGCAGCAAGGCTGGGAACAGCAGATGTGAGCCTGCACAGCTGGACAAAGACAAAAATGCACTTTGCTACCTACCTTTGTATTAAGGTTGCCCCAGGGATACCACAGTGCCTACGTGTGACTTAGCATATGAACGGCGAAAACATCGGGTACATTTACATATATAGGAACACTTGGTGTCCTTTTCAAAGTCAGAGAGAACAATGATTAAACGACATGAAGGAAATTTGGCTGCCTGGCTTTACTCTCAAATAATAGAATGACTGAGCGAGGAAATACAGAAAAAAAAAAATAGGACTGGCAGAGGTGAAAAATTTATGAATTAAAACCAGCACATTTTCATTTCATTTACTGTTGTCTACCAGTTTATTACATGGGAATCTAAAAGGGACTTGATTTTGCCTCCAAGGCTGCAGTTGCTATGCTAGACACTAAAGTTAGATGTTTTAGATAAGATTTTAATATTAAATCTTCTTGCACCGAAAGGGAAAAGCCCTGCTAAATAGGGAAAATTAAAAAGCCTCGTTTCTCTCCATGGTGCTTCACTGTAGTTTTGTGCTGCAGTGCTTGGCCACAGTGGGATGTGCCAGCAAACAAAGCATGGGGAGGTGGGAGGTGGGTGTGTGTCTATGGGGGTGGTGGTGTTTTAACTATAACTACTGAAAAAAAAAAATCATAATTTCCTCTCCTCCATCACCTGCATGTGCTTATTTCCAGCTGCAGCTGTCCAGAGCACTGGCCCATGCACAAGTGTTCCCATATCAGCACGGAGCACCAAATCCTACATGTCCATGAGATGTAACCCACGAGATGTAACAGAATCGAATCAGTGTTTGTGGTCCAAAACATCAGACCTTTGCTGAGAGAGGTGGGATGGATTAAGCGAAATCGAGTATTTCCACGCTGCAGAAAATATCTTACTTGTTTCTATTCTGAACCACAAAAGGGAAATGAACAAAACCAGAAATTAAGCATGAAAACTACCGGTGTGTCTAAATGAAAATCAATGTTTTAGCCTGGCATTACAAAAGCTTTAAAAAGCAAAACAGAACAAAGAGCATTGGTTCAATCAGGGCAATAAATAATAATATAGCAAAACCGATGTTTCCCCGCTGCAACTTTTCAGTTTTCCTGAGACCACGTTTTTTCCTGTGGCTGAACAAGGAGAGAAGAAGGAAACCCGGCAGTGCTTTCTGGGATGTTTGAGCCAACAAGATGCTATTTTAGTGCTGTGCCACGCTGCGTGCTCCGGGATGCTGTCCAGAGCCAGCACGGCGGCGTCAGGATGCTGGGGCTGCAGCCCTCGACCAGCGCTCGCAGCGAGCTGCTGGATTTGGAAACCTTCCTGCCAGCTGCACAAATCCACCCTGAAGTCAGAGGGTCCTGGCATCATTTCTCATGGGGTCAGGGTCTCCGTATGCAAAGGCAAAACCATGTGGATCATTCAGAGCAATGTAGAGGAAGCCAGGTTAATTTTGGCATAGGCAATGGAGTGCTCTTGTATTGCTCCTGTTGGTAATTAAGAGAAAGCAAATCGCAGGGGAGGACAATAAAAGTATTAATTAACAACTTTTTAAATAAGAAGAAAGTAATTTTTCTTAAAAAGGAGGTTTATGCCTGGAGAAAATACTTTAATAGGGTAATCACATTGTTGGGCATTTGACAAAAGCACACTAATAATTAAATGGGGGGGGGTATTGACTGCACATTTAGATAATCACCAGTTCCCCCATGCTAGTGCATGGACGCCCCAATTCTGCGGTCTCGAGCCTTGATTTAAAGCAGTGAAAGAAATGCTTCATTTCAAGCATGTTTCAGCCACATTTCACTCGCTGGCCTCAGCTTGAGAACCATCCCCGTGGGCCCTGGGGAAGCCTCTGGGGTTGGCTGTGACGGGGAGCAATGTAGGGTCCGTGCCCTCGCCATCTGCCCATGCAGATGCTGCTCCATTTTTCATAGGATCACAATTAGCAGGCGCCCTGTTCATGTCCAGTGATATCCAGGCAGGTTGGAAAAGTCTGGTTGCTGGTCCTGTAACGGGGTATCCAAACCATGTTAGCTCTGGTAGACTTTTGGAGACACCTTTTCTGCTCCTTCATGCTGGCAGATTAAGAGGTAAAACCCTTTTTACCGGATGAGATCCTAGGAAGCGCTGGACGGGGACACCTTTTGCATCGAGCAGTGGCATCGCAGCGCTGCCTAATTAACTCGGTTTGGCCTCAGCCAGCATCTGCCCTTGCAGCTGTGACCTCTCACCAGCAACACAAACAAACGCCGCTTTGCTTTGGGCTCCTGTCGGGAACTGCCAGCCCCTAACGGCGTGCAAGGCTCGGTTTTCGGTCGAAGGTAAAAGGGTAACCAAGCCACGACTGCTGGGAGGGGACAAACCCGAGCCAAACACTGGACCGAGGTGGGGGATCTGGTTTCTGAAATTGCACGGAGCCAAACAGGCAGGGCCTGAACCAGTGACATGCTGCTGCTTCCTCTGACTCATAACTGGTTTTTCGGAGAGGTTTTCAGGGAAATTTCTTCAGCGATTCCTCTGTTGTTGCCTGACTCATAGCGAAACACCGAAGTCATTATTAAAGTGAAATCGTAGCAAAAGGGGCTGTGAATGGTTGGTATTTACTCATTTAAAACACACCATAGCCATATTGCAGCGTGCAGCACCCTTTACCCAATATTTAAGTATTATTTATTTACAACAGCAAATTGAAATTCTGTCATTTGGGAGCACAGGACGTTAACCAACAGGTTTGTAATGGAAGGTTAACCCGTTCACCAAGGTTCACCAAGGCATGGGGGAGAGGAGCGGGGCTCTGCTGGAGCCTCCACCCCCGAGGAAAGACCCCAAACCTACAGGGTTTGCCTTGCGACTCGCTGACAGCGGGGACGTGTGGGCATCCGTCGCCCTCCCCCTGCAACAGCTCCTTTGCTTTTTGAATTAAAACCCAAACCATCGCTGCGGAAGAAGGGACTGAAAGAAAAAAAATAATAATCCCTCAAGTCTGGGAGCTCATATTTGCCTTCTCACCAGCTCTGCAGATACTTAATTTGAACGTTGCTTCATCTCCTGTCTCCCTCATGTATCATCGCTAATTAAAGTACACACTCCCTGCACTTACCCGAGCGAGGATGTGGGAGGCAGGAGAGGCTCAGCCTCATTTGCCGCTGCTGGATTGCCTCTGCGAGGGCAGCGGGGTGCTGCTCAGAGCCCCCAGCCACCCAAATGGCACCGCTGACTTCTCCCCAGCTCCTGCAGCCTCCCCTCTGCATCCCTGCCCTGCTTCATCCCCATCCCTGGGATGTTAGAGCGTGTGAATACAGCCCACAGCAGGCTCAGAGACCATCAGTGCCTCCCGAAGATCCAAGGAGACGCCGTCAGAGGAGAAAACACCAAATGCAGTGGGTTGGACGTTTGGCCAAAGCCATTCCCTCGTCCCAGCCTCAAGTGTCCAAAAACGCCTGGGCAAAGCGCTGCCGAGAACTTCCACGGCTCTGAATAATTAACTCCCGGGGCTATAAAAAGCTACGGGGGAATGGAAATCAGAAAAATCTAGTTTTAGGATAATTATAGCACAAATCGGGAGAACACTTGGACCCAAGGCAGATGTATTAGTAGGACAGCTGAGCGCAGTGGGTCAAATTCTGCCTTCTGCAGAGCTCCTCCGAGACAGACGCAGCCTGGGGAGCCGAAGCAGCCCCTGCACTTGGGTAGACAAAGCGAGTAGAAATCTAAAATACCACTTCTTAATATAGAAAACATTGAAACAAAGGAAATTATTTCAGGTTAGCATTCATGCCCCGGGTGTACACGTGGAGCGATATTTTCCAAAATATTTTGTTATGACACTTCTTTAAGCACCCCAGCCCCTATTACCACACCTACTGTGTTACAACTGACCCTATAAAATCCCAGTTTGTTTGCAGACCTTGTCACTTCAGGGCTGTCTGGACTCCAGCTGCTGGGACTCACACGCTGCTGGGGAAAGCAGACCTTCACTTTTCCTAGCAGTTATGTCTCCGGTCCGTATTTCGCCTGGGAAGTTTGAAAACACCGAGCACTGAGTCACCAGCAAGCAAATGCACGGCTTTTCTTCCAGATTTCCAGTTTTTGAGCAAGTCATTGCTTTGTAGTGTCCAATTCGAGGTGCTGGGTCCTTTATCTCCCGGTCAAAGGAACGTGCAGAGTGGCAGAGGGGCCTGCCTGACCCCAAAGAGCACCCAGATGGTGCAGAAAACCCATTACAGGGGAGCACTGGTGCGTTAGGAGCCTCGTGTAATAAATCCAGCACATTAAGGAAGGACTTGATGTGCCAGTTCGTGCTCTCCAAAGCAGTTCCTGAGCACACAGCTCGTGCTGCACAACAAACCCAGGTAACTGGGCATTTCTGGCAGAGACAGAGATGTGATCATCCCGCTGCACTTGTCAGGCTGCGCCTGGAGTGCTGCGCCCAGTTCTGGTCCCCGTAATTCAAAAGGGCATGGATAGATCGGAGAGGTCCAAAGAGGGCCATGAAGATGACCAGAGGGCTGGAGAACCATGAATAAAGATTGAAGGAGCTAGGTATTTTCACCCAGGAGAAGAGAAGGCTCAAGGGGGACCTCATCACGGTATTCCAGTGCTAACAGGGCAGCTACAATAAGGATGGAGGCTCTCTCTTCTCAAGGGGAGAAGACAAGGGACAACGGGTACATCCTGCATCAGGAGAGGTTTCATCTTGATAGAAGAAAGAAATTTTTGACAGCGAGAGCACTCACTCACCAGAAAAACCTCCCCAGGGATGCGGTTGAATCACAATCACTGGAGGTTTTTAAGATGGGTGCAAGGCAGTCTCACCCAGGCTCCCTTTTCCCATGAAAGCTTGGACCCGATGACCTTTCCAAGTCCCTCCCAACTTGGGCTGCCATATGGTTCTGGGATTTTATGAGTTACATCCATAAAAAGACCATTACCTTCCTGCCTGGCTGATCTGCAGGGTGTTTTTAGGTTGCATGGATTGACGAGGTGAGAAGCTGTTGAGGCAAATGGGAATCACCTGTGTTAATTAAAGATCCCGCAACGGTTTTATGATGGTCGGTGTTCATTAACCCTCCTGTCCTGTGTTAGCTCACATTTCCATGACCTCTCTGTTACAGCATTATTCATCCCCGTATTATTGGGCACAGTCACAGCAAGTGCTCAGCAAGTGCTGTTTCCATAGTGGTGAGCAATAACATCCCATATACTTTGGTTATTAAGAGCACAGGCATCTTGCAAGGTAAAGGGCTCTCCTGTAAGCTCATGTCACTCCTTGAACTGAAAAAGTGCTGAAGTGAAGGCATGTGGTGTGAGCAGCGATTGTCTCCATCACTCCCAAGCACGGCTGCTGTTTGTCACGACACGCAGCAACCGCAGGGAGGAAGCAAGGATTGGGGTGCCAGCCAGAAACCCATCCTGCTCTGCCCCATTAGGGTCAAAAAGAAGAGCATGGGGTCAGGGTACAGATGGGTACAGATGATAGAGATGGAGCCTATCCTTACTACGTGACAGGCGGCACGAAGCAAGTGGGAGCACAGGGGAGGGCTCAATGACAACCAAAAGCAAGACCTCCAAGTTGGGGAAAAGGCCTGGAGAAAAGGGAGAAGCTCCGTGAGGATGCGTGCGAGGCAGACAGGGACGAGCAGCTGTGCAAACACAGGCCGGGTTCAGCTGCAGCAGCTCTGCCAAAAAAAAAAAAGAAAAGGTCTGAGAGGGCGGCTGTGGATCGCACACGGAGCATGAATCAACAGTGTCACTGTTGCTGTGGAAATGCCAGATGTTTCAAGGCAGATAAAGGAGGAGCAAGAGCCTATAAAACGTGAAATTACCCTTCCACACCAGTCAGGGGGTTAAACTGGAGCTTGTGGAGTGGCATTTGCCATCCTGGCTGCAGGGTTGGAGCAGGGGCTGGCAGCCTCAGGATGCAAAACCTGGAGGGAAACATCATCCTCCAGCTGTGTAATGGGTTGTCTTTAGCAGAGCGGGATGCCTGTGGTGTGTGGGGAAAAAATATTGACAGGTAAGGGCAGCAAACAGCCAGACTGGGTGGCTGGAGGGGGACTGAAATTTCCATCTCGCTACCAACAGGTCAGACAAGTGGTGCTTAGAGATGATAAAGCGGCACAACCTGCCTCGAGGCTGGAGAAAAGATTAAATGAGCCCCTGCGAATCTTTCCAGCTTTGTTTTTTCTATGATTTATCAGAGGATTCACAGCTAGAGTTTCCCACATTCAGGGTTTAAAACGCAGCTCCGTCAGCCAGCCCCACAGTGGAGATGCTGGGAGAAAAGGGAGACAACTCCTGCCAGGGGACACCCAGGGGGAGCAAAACCCACACCAAGTCCCCAGCACACTGTGCTCCAGTCTCCTCGGGAGCTGAGAAGGCAACACACATAAAATATCAGCAAAAAATTACGGACACGTCAAAATCAGAGTAGTATTTCAGTTCAGCTTTGTTGCTGTGCATCTAGGTTTCTTCATCTGGGCTTTCTTTTCACACAGGTGCACAAGAAGAGGATGAGGGACAGAGGTCACAGATGCAGCAAAGGAAATTCTGAGTAGAAGCTAGGGAAATATCTCCATCACAAGGGTCAAGCACTAGAAAATGTTGCCAAGAGAAGCTGCGGTATCTCCATCCTGGAGTTTCAAACCTTACTGGCACGGACCCCATCTAGCTTTGAGGTCAGCTGTCCTGGGGTTGGGGTGGCTCTAAGACCCCAGAGGACCCTTCTACAATGCAAACAGAGGTAAAACAGGAGTTTCCCAGCAACAGCAGAATTTCCCATATTTCTTAATGCCTAAAAAACACCGTTTCCCTTGGAAAAATGTGCAACAGCTGGCATTTATCCCCAGGACGCCCCAGTCCTACCCAGTGCCCCCAAGCAGCCAGCCCAGGGCTTGCTGCTGAGTCTATCCCACACCACATCCCTGGCTCATCTCTGCTGCTGAGCTCCAGGCTGCTCGATAAGGACAAACAGCTCATTTACCTGCCTTGGTTCATTACAGTGGAATGCAAATAGGGTACATATACCGATGTGGTCATAGGAAAAAAAAAAAAAAAAAAAGATAAATGAACATCCTTTCTTTCATTGCTGTCCCTCTGCAGCGTGGGAGAGGACAATTTATGCTAATTCCTCTCCCATTCTCATAGTGTTTATCGATTTCTCAGGGCCTTAGTAAATCCACCGAGTGGCAGCCAGAGAAGACACACCACCGCAGTAGTGGGTGTCATCGGCACAGCCCTAAAAGACACCTTACAAAGACTGCAAGACATCATCCCTACCTGAACAAAAAGGGGGAAAACATCAAGACCAGCATCTTACTCAAATCACAGTGAGCTCCTTAAAGCCCCGAACACCACCCAGCCCATCAAACCTTCCCCATGTTTTAATGCAGGCTTTGCTCGCATCAGCACCAGGCCATTTTTCCTTCTCTCTGCCTGCTGAATGCCCAGCAGTGGCAGGGCAGAAACCATTTTGACACCCAGAGCCAGGATGACGTGGCAAAACAGGGCTATTAGATGATGACTGTCTTGTAACCGAGCCAAGTTAGCACAACTCCGGGAGCCCTGTGCTGATGCAACCATGACAGCACGTGCAAGGAGACTCTCCTGTCTCCTTACAGCACTTTTCTGCCTGTTAGCTAGAAAATAAATTGGTAGGAGCATCCTATTTCTTTGCACGGAGGTCAGATACCCAGAGCCCGGATAATGTTTAAAAACAGCATGGAAATCTCTTGGTTAAAACATTTAAAACCCGAACGTACCTTAATATCCATGGTTATAAAGGGATACACGGGGCTCAGGGGGCTGTCATTGCCTCCGTGGTGTGGCTCTCTGATAAGCGGGGTGCTTTGTCGGAGGTGGTGCCCAAACAGCCTTTCCGGGTGCTGGCACAGGGAAAGGATAGACGAGGCAATCGATCCACTTGAATTTAAAAAGACAGATTTATGAAGAATAATTGCCTTCTAACTTGGCAGGGAATGTGTGCTGCCTTCAAGGGATTCACAGCTGTGTCCTGTTCTGGGGGAGTTAACCGGGCTTAGAAAAAAACATTTGATCTATTCTTCCTTCCTTAATTCAACAGAGCTGCGAGTCTCCCAGGATATTTCTATTAGGATTGCAGCAGGCTTTCCATTTCGGTGTGTTGGCAGAGGAGATCTGTCACACTGATGGAATTTTCTACATGGGAAGTATCCACAGCACTTCCAGCAGACAGCAGCATATACATCACCCCAACAGCTGGCTGCGCGTGTCGCAGGGGCAGCAAGATGGGATGCCTTTCCCTCCGACTACAAACGCAGGTTGCCTCGAGCAATGTGAATTTCGCAGCCGGATTGCCACGTTTTGCATGTTTCTGGGCTAGACTGGCAGTGCTGGCATTCAGCTTCACTCAAAGCTAAGCCACAATTAAGCGCAAAACAAACAGATCGAGTTGCAGAAGCATTGGTGTTTGTAGCAAGCTTCCCAACTTCATCCATCACTTCCTGCAGCTCTTTGCACAGATGCCTGGCTCTCACCTTTTAAAAAGATGGATTTTTTTTTTTAAAGTTCATATTTGCACAGCATTTGAGCACAGCTGGAAACTCCTGGTATAACCATCCTCCCAGGAGGAGGGGGAGACAAAACGTCCCATGGGAGCTCCTGAGTGGTGACCTGAGAATTAAACGAGATAAAAAAATAATGAGCCTAAAAGAAAAGGAAAACCAAATTCAGCTCCAAGCTCCTGCTTTTGTTTTTAATTGTGGATACAGAGTGTTGCTGTGATGGGAGTATATGATGTTGGCAGCATCAGCCCTGGAACCAGCCTTCATAGAAATGCGGTGCAGCCACCACTGGAGCGGGTTTGCAGACCCTCTCAGACACCACCAGCCAGCACTGACTCACTCTGAAGCTCGTAATTTATCTTTTGTTACATACACAAAGAACTTGAGTAGAGTTATAGAGTCATATTTCCAAGGTAAATCATTAGCACTGACTGAAAGGGCTGTCCCATTAAAAATGTGTTTCCAGGAGATTTTACACACGCAGCTGAAGCTCCCCATGTGTGCTAAGCACGTCCTTTCTCTGCTGCAAGTGTCTCAAGGCTAACTTCTATTATGTGGCCCTTTGCAAAGCAAGAAAAAGCCTGCTGTGATGCATGCGATGCCTGATGAGCTCTGTCTGATGTAGAGGAACCCAAGCATTATTCAGGTCCATGGATCAGGGTAGGGGCCAACTCTTCCCTTTGGTGAATCAAGGCTGCAGGTGACTGGACCACAGACCTGTCCCTCATTTTGGACTCAAAGTGTGGATGAAGCAGCCCTCAAAATGAAATGTATGCTAATATATTACTTACATTATATTGTTAAATGATATTCTTCTACTAAATTCAATATTTGAGAGTTTTTAAGTCTACTCTGCTTTAAAAGTAAGACTCTGAAACACTTTATCATGTTGATGTGCTGGTCAAAATAGCCATTTAAGCCATCTCTCTGCCAGAAAAGCAATGCCCCAGAGAAGTAGTTTTTCAGTCTTGTTTCAAATATCCCCACATTTCCCCAAGAGGCCGTCCAAAGGTCTGTTTCATGACCTGCATAGAGAGTTTCTCCTAGCCCTTACAGTATATGCATATGTTAAAAGTGTGCAGAAGTCAAAAAAGGCTTCAGAAAAAGTTTCCAAATGAGTGAATTCAATTATTTGAGTTTACTCTTGCCAATCCACTACTATTTTCCAGCAGCTCTACAAACGTGACAGCTGTGGGACCATTGGCATGGCAGCCCATCACGGTGGCCAAACTCGGGGCACAGAGGCAGGTCCCCCATGGGTATTGGTGTCACGGCAGCACTCAGACAGCTCTGAGAGCCACAGCCCCTCGCGCTGCTCCTTGGGGGCTCTGCCCAGGCTGCTGGGTGCTCTCACAGCCCCCATGCTCCATGAGGGTACACCCTTGGGCTCTCTGTAAGGCAAGACCTCCCAAGACCACTAACCTCACATTGGAAACATAAGACCTTAACTTAGCAAGTAAGTGGAAGGGTTCACCTTGTGATGGCGAACCCTTCAGGCTGGTCTTTGAAGCAGAAGTCTTTGAAGCTCACCGTTTTCTGCATCTGGTGTTGATGCAGAAGTTATTGAGCTCAATATCTCTTCCCTCCTGTACCTTTCTCTCGTGAAATATCACGCATGCTGCGGTGTGATGTGCTCTGCCAGTCTGTCCCAGTAGCGATGATGAAGTTTGGCAAAGCCATTCAGTCCTCGGCTGCTATTATATAAGATATTAGAGTGCTCTTAAACACGCCTGCCAGCAATTTGATAGTGTTGCTTAAACACTGTCACTGGAGACTTGTCTGCCTAATGCCGCAGCCACGTTCCTCCGAGGTGGCCTTGTCCACCAGCAGTGACCAAGGAGGCTTTCCTCTGAAATGTCTCAAAGCTTTTCTGCTTCCCTCTGAGGTGCTGGCCTGTCGTCGTGTGTGTTTGTGGGGTACCCCAGGTGCCTTTCATTAGTAGTTACCCAAAGTGGACTCTCTTGATCTGTGGATCCCTTCAAATTACCCTGGTGGAGCAGTGACGGCAGACTCTTACCTTCCATACGGAAAGATATCCATGCTTATTTGTTATTTCCAGTCCATTTGTTCAGGAGGATGCTAAAGAAACCCATTCCCCCTGAACTAGATCTTAGAATTATGCCCCAATGGTTACAGACCCACCTGCCTGCCCACCACCTTCTCATGGCCCAAGTCCCAGGGCTATGTTTTTTCTCTGCCCCTGTTCCTACCAGCCAGACCACCCCTGTCTATCTTTACATCTGTTCCCCACTCACTAGTCTGCCTCGTCTTTGCTCTTCACAGCTCTTCCTCATGCATCCATATGCTTCTGCTGCAAGCACAGCATTTCTTTGCTCTTGGCTTCAGTGCTCAGTCACAGAGGAAGAACTCCTGAGATTAAGCTGGGCTGGAGCTTTGGGTTTGGAGACGGAATCATCCAAGAACTTACCCACTCCACCAGACATCTAAAGGGTACATGAAGCAGCGTGTTTTTCAGAGGTTTGTATCTTTGCCAGACTTAGGTGAGAGGGAAAACTGCTAACTGATCCAGCCTTGAATCAGATCCTCCTCCTGAGCTTCAAATCCTGCTCAAAAATGAGGCACTGCAGTCTGGGCGCAAGAGCTCCAAGAATTCTGACTTAAGGAAATTAAACTTGTTTGTGTCAGACTTTTTCCAAATTTGCTAGATCAGATTTGCTGAAGCTTGCAAATCAACCAGCTCTGAGAACAGGCAATGTAATACGTAATCCACTTGGATCCAATCTCCTTTGACAAGGCACAAGCAGCTGAAAGCCAAACTTGAGAATGGAAATTATTGAGCAACTCCAAGTCCACACGGCTGCGGTACTATAAATGCCCTTCTCCTTTAAGAATCTGGAGGCACAGAGAAAATACAAACCTTGATGAAATACAGGTTATCTCTAATAGTTTACATATTTGGTAACATAAAATTAAAGACTATACAAGCTTTATCTATATTAAGTGCTAGAAAAATGTCAAGTTTTGTTACCAGTGAACGTTTTGAGTGCCTCCTAAATTCTCAGTTCAAACTTCTGAAAGACAAAAAAAAATGCAAGATTGAGTTACAAGATGAAAGAAGACCTTTCATGACTGTACATTATAACTCATGAATCCCTTTCTCAATTACCCCAAAAGTAGGTCTCTATGTTACCCTGAACCAGGCTTCAGTACGTGACATTTCCAAGCAATTTGGGCCTGTCAAAGGTTTTAGTTTACCCTTAATTAGAAAGGGGTGCTCACCTCAAAACAAAGCTGACATTTGCTCTCATTTGCTCATGGCAATTATGTGTTTACCTAGCACTCAACACAGCAGAGCCCCAAGCTTTGCCCTTTGAGTGTAACAGCATTACGAAGCAACAGCTTTACATCTCTATTACCAGCACAGCTTTCCCACCAACCATTCTTCTACCTCCACATGTCCTCTTTCCCACATGCAGACATAGATATTCACCTCTCAACAAGGGGAGCATCTGTGGATCCTTTTTGGAGGAGCCTCTGGCACTAGTTAATCTGGCCTTGGGGATCTGCTCTCCCTATGGTAAGGGAGGAAAAAATGGTACCTCTGGTTTGGGGGTGTTTTAGGTCTTCACGTGAACCTTTCTCCTTGCAGATGTCAAGGTCCAGATCAACCCCAAATGCACATGATCAAGTTGACTCTGAGCCTACCTAGACAAGCCAGCTGCCAGGCAAGACTTCTTCATCCCACCATCCTCATCCCCAGCCACACGCCCTTTCTACAGTTACTGTCACAGGCTCGGTGGAGGACTGGCTATTTCCTCTTCCAGACCTTCACCAGGAGATAGAAACCTTGCACAGAGTGACTGTAATAACTATTCTTCATATTGTCCAGATCTTCCACTGCACAAAATGTTAACACATGGAGCCAAATAGCATCATTAGTCATTTACCAGAAAGAATGACACAAACTTCAAAAAGAAAATAGAGCAACTCTCCTCAATAACTCAGAAGAAGCTGTGCTCTTTCAAGACTCCATAAATATGTCTTTGCCCATTATGTAAAATTAATTTCCGTATCAGACTGAGCTAAAGAATTATTAGGAATATCAGAACAAGATGAAAGGTTGCTTAAAATGGTCTGTGTTACTGATTGTATCAGTTACTACTTGCAGCTTTAAAAAAGTCAATGCCATCTAATAGCATCCATATTTTATCTGTTGAGAAATCTAATACTCTCAGAAAAGAAGCAATATCAGACTGCATGGTCAGTCTTATTTGGTAGAGAAAATAGAATTCTAAGAAATTTAATCTTGGACAATAAAAGAGAAAATAGTGAAACCCTGCTGATATGTTGCATATGCACGTGGAAGGGGAGAAGAAATTAAATTATTGTGATGAATAAGGAAAACATCTTATAAATAATGAAGATGCCAGCATAATGTATTTTTTGTTTCTGATGTTGGTAAGGAAAGATAAGAAGATTGCTGCAATATCACACCATCACTCTGAATGCATTGTATTTAACATATAAATTAAAATTCTGCCAATAATCCCAGGTACAGAGTGGCATGCCCATGACGAAGACATTCATTTCTGAAATTCAGGACTGTAATGGTCAACGTCACATAATCATATTGACATCTCTTTCTCCCATAGCTGATGTAACCAACTACCACTTGTATGCTGTTTTTTACCCTATGGTAGCACCCAGATGCTGGCAAAGGTTGGGGCTGCTCGCCCTGGACACCAGCAATGAGTGGAGGGCAGGGAAGAGCAAGGCAGTAAGTGGATCCTGGGAATGGAGTACTGTTTTTTCTCCTCCTCTCCTCATGTTTTGAAGGACCAGCTTTGTTAGCAGTCTGTTTAAGCTGCCCCAGGAGCACAGCACTAGCTCATAGTGCCACACTACCAATGTAAGCTTTGTTCTGGCACTAATAACCCTACTGCAGGCACTTGGTTCAGACAAATTTAGTATGTATTTTAGCATCTGACATCCTCCCTTTCCAACATCTCTTCTTTGCGAAAAAAGCAATTTATTTATTTATTTACTTGCTACATTTTTTTGGTCTGCTTTTAGACTAGCTCTGTCTCCTTGATCTCATCCATCCACAAAAATACTGCAGTCGAAAGAAATCTGCCTGACTGTAGCAGACCACTGATTCGGAGTGAGAGTGCCTACTCTAAAACTCTGCCTCAAATCAGCATCTGAGATGCTCTTCCCCCGATCAGGATGACTTTTGCAGTTAGCTTTAAAAAGCTACACATGATAAAAGCCAGTCAGCTGGCTCCCCAAAACTTTTAAATGTCATTATCCACATATGCATCTTAAGATTGAATCTAATGTGTGTGTGTTATCTGAATGCTTACTGCAGTGGTTTGTTACCCCAGCTTAAATCTAGTGAGGAGTGTTATTCACCACTGCTATTTTAAGAGGAGCCCACTCCTGAATTACCCTCATGATCAGGACTCCTTTTCAGTGAGTGAATTTCATGGTCCTGCAGAATTAGGCCTTACATTATTACAATTATGTGCAGAAATTACATGACCTTGTTTTGTATTTCCTTGACATAAAATTGTGTGTTTCTCATTAATTTCTGATTTTTTGTCTGATAGCGCAGTGATAATTTCTTCCTGAACACGGAGCGTAATGTGCTCAGCTATTACTGCCTCCAAAAAGAAGCAATTATTTTGCTTACAATGCTTTGTGAATCGAGTTCACCAAGGGCTAGACAGAGGTGTCAGCTATTCTCTGCACAATCTGATATTTGCATGTTAATTGAATCGTCCTTTGAGAGGGCCACCCTGTTTAGCTCATCAGAGAAGAAGGAAGGCAGCTAATTCATGCCTCGGAGGGGGCAGGTGAAGGAGGGAGCCCATTATCAACAGGATCAGTTACTACATTTCCTTTATATCAGAGTTAAAAGACATGTGTGTGCATAAACAAGACCAAGGCCGTGGCTGCTCCTTTGAAGCCACTGGACTACACAAATTTGCCCTGGCCAAGACTCTGATCAAATTGACCTGGCCAAGACTGAAGTACACATACAGCAAAATTTCTCCTAAAGAGCTGACTGACCACTTGCGGTTTTCACAATTTCAACTAGTTCTGCCAATTGCAGATAGAAACAAATCAATTTCAATCATACTTTGCATATTTTACTTAAACTTAAAAAAAAATAATAATAATACTATTATCTCTCACCCATGATGATACAACATTTTGCAACTTAATAAAAGATGTAGATACACACGGTACTTTCTGAGGATTGGAGGATAGACTGCATTTGGACATCCAGATTGTCATTTTTTTTCTGTAGTTCACAATTTCCTATCATATCACAGAATCACAGAATCTCTAGGTTGGAAGAGACCTCAAGATCATCGAGTCCAACCTCTGACCTAACACTAACAGTCCCCACTAAACCATATCCCTAAGTTCTACATCTAAACGTCTTTTGAAGACTTCCAGGGATGGTGACTCAACCACCTCCCTGGGCAGCCTGTTCCAATGTCTAACAACCCTTTCAGTAAAGAAATTCTTCCTAACATCTAACCTAAAACTCCCCTGGCGCAACTTTAGCCCATTCCCCCTCGTCCTGTCACCAGGCACATGGGAGAACAGGCCAACCCCCATCTCGCTAGAGCCTCCTTTAATATACTTATACAGAGTGATAAGGTCACCCCTGAGCCTCCTTTTCTCTAGGCTGAACAAGCCCAGCTCCTTCAGCCGCTCCTCATAGGACTTGCTCTCCAGGCCCCTCACCAGCTTCGTCGCCCTTCTCTGGACCCGCTCAAGCACCTCGATGTCCTTCTTGTAGCGAGGGGCCCAGAACTGAACACAGTACTCGAGGTGCGGCCTCACCAGAGCCGAGTACAGGGGGACGATCACCTCCCTAGCCCTGCTGGTCACAGTGTTTCTGATACAAGCCAGGATGCCGTTGGCCTTCTTGGCCACCTGAGCACACTGCTGGCTCATATTCAGCCGACTGTCCACCATCACTCCCAGGTCCTTCTCTGCCTGGCAGCTCTCCAGCCATTCCTCTCCCAGCCTGTAGCTCTTCTTGGGGTTATTGCGCCCCAGGTGCAGGACCCGGCACTTGGCCTTGTTAAACTTCATACAGTTGACCTCAGCCCATCGGTGCAGCCTATCCAGATCCTCCTGCAGAGCCTTCCTACCCTCAAGCAGATCGACACACGCACCTAGCTTGGTGTCATCTGCAAACTTACTGAGGGTGCATTCAATGCCCTCATCCAGATCATTGATGAAGATGTTAAAGAGGACCGGCCCCAGCACCGAGCCCTGGGGGACGCCACTAGTGACTGGCCTCCAACTGGACTTGGCTCCATTTACCACAACTCTCTGGGCCCGGCTATCCAGCCAGTTTCTAACCCAACGAAGCGTGCGCCAGTCCAAGCCAAGAGCAGCCAGTTTCTTGAGGAGAATGCTGTGGGAAACGGTGTCAAAAGCCTTGCTGAAGTCAAGGTAGACCACATCCACAGCCTTTCCCTCGTCCACCCAGCGCGTCACTTTGTCGTAGAAGGAGATCAGGTTCGTCAAGCAGGATCTGCCTTCCATAAACCCATGTTGACTGGGCCTGATCGCCTGCTTGCCCTTCAAGTGCCGCATGATGACTCCCAAGAGGATCTGCTCCATGAGCTTCCCTGGTACTGAGGTCAAACTGACCGGCCTGTAGTTCCCCGGGTCTGCCCTCCGGCCCTTCTTGTAGATGGGCGTCACGTTTGCTAGCCGCCAGTCAGCTGGGACCTCCCCCGATAGCCAGGACTGCTGATAAATGATGGATAGGGGCTTGGCCAGCTCCTCTGCCAGTTCTCTCAGTACCCTTGGGTGGATCCCATCCGGCCCCATCGACTTGTGCACATCCAAGTGCCGTAGCAGGTCACCAACCAGTTCTTCGTGGATGGTGAGGGCCACATCCTGCTCCCCGTCCCCTTCCACCAGTTCTGGGTACTGGGTATCCAGAGAGCAACCGGTTTTACCACTAAAGACTGAGGCAAAGAAGGCATTGAGCACCTCCGCCTTTTCCTCATCTCTTGTAACTAAGTTTCCCCCCGCA